GTGAACATCGGTTGCCTGAGGAGATACACTAGCTAGCAGTGTCCAGGGCTGTATGTTCAACTTTCATTAAAACCCTTTGCCTGAAGCCTTTAGGTCCATAGTCAGTGAGTCTACTTTGATTTGCACAGTGGGGTTAAGTGGAAGGGCTAAAATGACGGAAGTTAGGGCTGCCTTTGGAATTAGGAGGAGTAGAGGCTGGCATCTGGCTGTGCATCTATCTTCGCACTGTGGATCAGCTCCTTGACATCAGTGCGGTTCAGGGAGAAAGTCCCACTTATGTTCAAATTTTTGGAAAGGTTGTAAAACCAGCAACTTTTTAATGAGCAAGTCCTTAAAAAACGAAGAAGCAGCAGCCACGTTTTTTTCTTTCCGAGATCAGATACAGAAAGCACCACCAACTGTGCTTATTGAAATATCCATTTGGAGATTCCAATTATACACTAAGCCACCCAGGGAATTTTGGGAAATATTTTAACTTAATGATCAGACATTCAAATATATGCAACAAAGGTGTAATTTAAAGGTCTGATTGCGCTAATCAGTTCTCAGGATGAATGTAGGCGCACTTAATGAAATGTGCACTTTCCAGCTGCATACACTCACATGTTATGTAGGAAGATGGGTCTTCAGGTCAATTTAGAGGTGGAGATGGCCAAAATTCTATGTAGTGGTGAGAGAAGGAATTCTGCCTACTGCATTTCCCTGTGATGGCATAGTAGGCAATGAGCTGGGCTGATAGCAGCAAGGTCAACCTTTCAAACCCACTAGCCTCTTCAAGGGAGAGAGATGAGGCTTTCTTATTTTAAAAAAAATCATTTTATTGGGGGCTCATACAGTCTTATCACAATCCTAGGCTTTCTGCTCCTATAAAGATTTATACCCATGGAAACCTCAAGGGGCAGTCCTACGATCTCCTGTAGGGCCATTGCAAGTCCAAATTGACTCAATGGCAGTGGGTTTGGTTTGACTTTTGGTTTTCTTCTAGAAAAACCTTTGAGTTAGAATCATGGTTGTAAATGAGGGTGGAGATGAGCTATGTCCCCAGGGGACTTTAGCAATGTTTGGAGACAGTTTGGTCATCACCAGTGGGAGATACTTCTAGCATCTAGAAACAAGAGCTGCTGCTACCACCCTACAACACGCAAGCCCGTCCCGCCCCTTCCCAGGAAAGATCTCGCTTCAAGGGTCAACAGTGTTGAGAATGAGCAACCTTTATTTACGTGTGTGTGGTGGGGAGGAAGGGGGACAAGAGTCTCTGATTGAAGCAGGCAAGGGGAAGATTTAAAGGCATTTGTGAGCGAAGAGTCTAAAGGACACTTTATCCCCAGCCATGAACTGTAGCACTGGATTCTTTTAGCTCATATTTGGATAGTAGGAAAAAAAACTGTTAATTTTTTTTCTCTGTGTCTTTACCGAAAAATGACTGGAGTCAAGTAGTGCTCAGGGCCCGGTCCTGGAGAAAAATTATGTGGCATAGGTCTGGGAACTAACTTGTGTCTTGCGATTCCATGTAGGTTCACAAGTATATTGAAATGATCAGCGTGTATGCCAAGCACCTCTCCAACCTCACTGTCCGAGTAGAGATCATGGAAAAGGATTCCATTTCCTACACGGAACTGGACTTTGAGCTAATCAAGTTAGAAGTGAAGGAGATGGAGAAGCTGATCATTGAGCTGAAGAAGAACTTTGTTGGAAGCTCAGAAATTGTTGACCAACTGGAGGTGGAGGTAAGGGGTGAAATCTCGTCTCTGTACTTTAATGATGCCTTCTTCTCTGGGAGCGACTGGGAGCCAGTGCTAGGGCCTGGACAAAATCTCTCTCTTCTGACTTCTGATTCTACGTAGGCTCTCTCCTGACCACATGCCATATCACACACTCTGCTATGGGCTAACTCCTGTCTTTGAATAGAAGGTCAACACATCAGGAGCATGTTGACTGAGGACCCTGTCATGTCATGCCATACCATACCATACCATACCATATCATAAAATAGCACACCACACCATAGCTTACCATACCATAATATACTGAGCCAATAGTACTGCACCCCATTGCGCCCTACTACTGCATACCATACCATACTATACCAAACCATACCACACAATACCACACCTTACCCTATAGAACCATACCATACCACACTATATCAAACCTGATCATATCATTCCTTACCTATCATATCATACTATACCACCTCATACCACCCCACCACACCCAACCACCCCACACCACCTTATCCCATCCCATCACACCATGCCATCCCATATCACACCACACCTCACTGTAACATACCATCCCACACCACACCAATACCAGTTGCTGACAAGTTGATTCTGACTCATGTCGAGCCCACATGTGTTAGCGTTGACCCAGACTCCAGTAGGTTTTCAATGGTGGACCTCTGGGTGGATTCAGCCTGCCGGGCTTTTGGGGGAGCAGTCCAATGCTGCTTTCACAATCCAGGGATGGAGGAGCAGGGGTCCTCTCAGGTCAGAAGGCTGCACCAGAATCAAATGGCCTTGAACTTCGCTAGGAAAGAGGTGACGTAATTAAAACAACCATTCGTGGTCAAGACAAATTAAGCATCTCCCTTGTTCTAGATTATCCTCACGAGAGACCTTTTCTAGAAATCCACGAGGTAGGTGATTATGGATTTGCTGGG